GGACATCCGGCTCTCCAGGAACCTCTGACATTTTACCTGCACTGCTACATCCCTCTCCATGTCCCCACCCCACAACATGCCAGCCTCTACCTCACCCCCTGAGGCCTCCATTTCCATTTTCAGTGACTGGATTTCTTGCCTGCATTGTGAGCAGGACAGCCTCTGGCTTTTTTACTATTTCTTCCCTCCAGGACCAGGGGACACATCAACTGCACATGCTTCCTTAGCCTGACAAAGGGTTTTTGCACCCAAAAGCTGGCATCCCAGGCAGCTAAACTGACTCACCTGGAGCCTCACAATTCCACTGCAACCAGCAAGCCTCAGGCCTGTCAAAGACGTGACAGGTCTGAGCTTTCCCCAGCCAAGACTGTGTTCATGCATGTGTTAGCTGGAGGTTATGGCACCTCCTACAGTCTTTCACCAGGGGATCATTGGTCCGGGCCTTTAGGGGGCTGCCGCACCACCAGCAGTCCCACCAGGCCTTCCTACCCTGGCAGGGAGCAGTTTTAGTGGTCATACCCAGGACCTGGGGCCTCCTTCTTCCCCAAAGCCCCAGCTCATACCTCCAAGTTCATCCTGTCAGGGGAGTGAACTCAGCTGGGACATGCTCTTTCCGTGAGCCCCCAGCTGACAGCTGAGCATTTATGGTTTATAAAAAATGAAAAAAGAAAATTGGTGTAGACAGAGTGAGGAGGGTGGCACTCAGTCCATTTGCAGGTGGAGCTTGGGGAACCCCAGCAGAGGGAGTTTCACTTTCAAGAACACCAGCTTCTCCACCAAACCAGGATACAAGCCGATGCAGTGGAATGTCACAACACCCCCAGCAATGCTGAATGCCCTCTAGCTTGGAACACCAGTTGGAGGACAGGACAGGTGTTGCCAGGCAACTGTGGCCAGATCCTGCCACATCTGGCTTCAGATTGCGCAGTAGGCCAAGTGGTCCCAGTTCAGTGCCTCCACATCCTCAGTGAGATAGGTAGCCACCCAAGGCTGGGGTCTGGTGCATTTGAACCCCATCATTGAAGCCATGCCCATGGCTCACAATGGCAGTGGCTGGCGTGATGGAAACTAGCTGGTACTGGTGCCAGTGTTGGTGCTGGGAGTGCTGGCACAGGAAGTGGATCCCCCTCTTCCATATCCCCTCACCTCTGCCTTTCTGCCTCCCTGACTCTGTTGAACAGCACTTGCATCCAGTGATCGAGGGTTTGGGGGCTGCCAGTGCACATGCTCCTCCTCACCCCAGAGGTGCACATGTACACCAGCATGTGGACCTTACTGGAACACAAGGGATCCAGCTGTCTCCTGATACCCTCCTTCAGCCACCTCACCAGTGCCTGTCTGTCTGGTGGCAATGGGCTGGCCCCGCCAAGAACATTGATCCCCCGGGACGTCTCTATTTGGTTCTCCAGTTCCCTCACTATGGGGATCACCTGGCTAAGTAGGGCATCACCAGCACTGAGGGTCTTGGTGGCCTTAAGGAAGGGCTTGAGCAACGCCAAGATCTAGGAAATGGTTCCTCATTCAGCTCTGTAAGGGGGGCTGCTGATCCCAGTATCCCCAAGCAAGGCCATATCATGGATGGCTGTCTATTGCTCTACCAGCCTTTCAAGCACCAGATATGTGGAGTTCCACCGAGTCTCCACATCCTGCACAGTTTTGTGCCGTGGGATGCTCAGCTATGCCTGCTTCTCCTGCAGCATCTTGCCCAGCTTGATGTTCCAGTGGAAGTAACCCACAACCTTCCTGCATTTTGAAATGAGCTGGCTTGTAGTGTTAGTGGTGGCGGTGCCATCACTGGCAGCCCTGTTCCCCTCTTACTATTAGGTGCAGCCTGTGTGCCACACAGTGGATGTCAACAAAGTTGGCATCATGGACAGTCTTTACCATCTTGGCCCCATTGTCAGTGACCATGAAACAATGTGGTTCATGGACAACCATGATCTCCCTTGCCATGTGGGACTTATCCAGCACCTCAGCTTGGAGGAGAGCCCACCAACAGCCTGACTGATCACATGAGTGCCCTGTGAGGGAGAGGTAGGTGCGATCACCACCTCAGCTGCTCCAGATGTCGGAGGTGAAGCGTAAGGCTACCTGCGGCCCTGCCTTGCACAGCTCCTCCCTCAAGTACTCCCTGCATGCTTCATACAGGGAGGGCACCACCATCTTGCTAAAAATGGCATGTGCGGGCACTTGGTAAGATGCGTCCATGAGTGTCATGAGCCACCTGAACCCTGGCTGCTCAACTAAGGAGAAGCGCTGGCTATCCAGAGCAAACGTCTCCACAATGGTCTGGGTGATCTCGCTCACCTTCGGAATGTGCTCCCGTCTGTCTGCAGGTTTCCCCCATTGCTCCAGGGTAGCCTGCCTCTGCTTTGCAGAGGTGGAGGCTTTGGAGCAAACAGGGGACTTCCCCACTTCTGGGTTGAGGGTGGGGATCCTGCCTTATCCCGCTCCTCAACAGGCTGAGGCACAACACCAAGAGGAGCTGCCTCAGCTGAGCCACTTGCCTGAGCCTCCACAACCTCCTCAACCGCCTCCAAGGTGCTGCTTTCTAAACAAGGAGACCTGGGTCTAGTGGAGCTTTGAGGGGTGTGGAGCACAGACTCTGATTTCTCCTTGGTCCCCAGAATTGCTTGCTGTGGAAATGCGATGTCCTGCAAAGAGCATAGGACTTCATAGATTTCAAAGATTTCCTAGACGTTAGGGCTGGAAGGGACCTCGAAGATCATCAAGTCCAGCCCCCTGCCCCAGGGCCAGGAAGTCTGCACTCTTTACAAATGCCCAGATGGGATAGATGGAGTTGGCACATTGACTGACAATAACAGGCCATAGGCATGTGTACACATGTAATTAATGCACCTGAATCTTCTTCAGAGAAAATACAGGTTCATTAAAGCACTCCAGGGTGCACATCTACATATGTGCCCCCAGCAGGAGCATATTGTTCCTGACAAGAGCAACCTAGTCCATGGCTTCTCCTGCCCTGCTCCTCCCAACTGCCAGGGGGAGGTCCAGACTCCTGATCTCAACATAGCCAAAACAGCTTTCCCCACTGGGCAGGGACTGGCCTGGATGACATGATGGGATATATGGGACATTTGGGAAGGGCCACAGTGACATGGATCTCTGAATTCCTGGTTGGATGCTGAACTGTAAACATCTGTGTTGAAACATATTGGTCACAAGCCTTTGACATAACACTCTCAGGGCCTGACCTCCAGTTGAACACTGCTGGGGAGTGGAAGGATCTGTGGAAAGAGGCCCCGTCCATCCATCATGATCTCTCCTCATCTTCCTTTCAGCATTCACGCTCCAGAAAGACTCAGCCTGATGCACATGTTCCTGGAGTGCACCAGCTTGCAGCCCCTGAATCTCCTCCTCCACAGTCTCTTGTTGAAGGTCTGGTGGCACTTTTCCCTCACTTCTTTATGTATTCACTCCCCATCCATGGCCCCACCAAAGCACAGCACCTCCTGGTTCACCTCCTCCTCCCCCTGGGCAAGTAGCCTATTCACATCACCAGGAAGGATGTTCTGGCTGGGAGCTTCCCCGGGGACTGTGGGGCCATTTTCCTGGGTTTCCTATGGTCTGTTCTCCAGGAACAGCTCCACTGGGCAGTAGCCGCCAGCTCCCTAGCTGTGTTTTAGAGTTTATGGGTGCTCTCTGTTGTGTTCTGCTCAGTGACCCCAAGGGTGCCCTTGTTTTGACCCTATGACCTACATGCACTTCCCTTTTTGGCATTTTTTCCCCGATAATCACTGGGACATTTTGTCTCTCAGTACTACCAAGGGGCGGCCTTATGTAACTTGATGGGCCTGAGCCCACATACAAAATGGTCCAAAGAGGCAGGCAAACCACACCAGCAGCAGCAGCAGCAGCTGATCACAGCATCCTAGGCACCAATGCTACACTGAAGGACAGAGGAAAGGGACAATACCTGACTGGGATCCAACTGCCCCCAACACTGAGTGGGACCCTTCCTCTTGAACCCCCCATGCAGAAGCTCCCTTTGCCCCATTCACCTGCTGTACAGCACATGGGATGAAGATGCTCCAACTCCAAAGACCTGGTCACTGCTATTTTCTCTACAACAGGCATTTCTCCTCTCCCAGAGGGAGGCCAGGGTGACACAGGCCAAGAGCCATGCCTGGTATCTAGAGGACAACACCTAACACCGAGTCACCCATCCTCTTTCCAATGTCAATTCTGACCTGGTTGTACCCCATGGACCCCTTCAAGGTATGCAGCTCCCCCTGCCCTAAAGAGAGCACAGTAGCACATCTGACCATTCCTGATACAAGCCACCCATTCCTCAAGCAAAGGGACATACACGTAGTGGGAGATCTTTTATTTTATAAACCAAGGTACCATTCTGGTAGCAGATAGAGGACACAGAGCCTCCCAGAATAGCAGTGGAAATCTAAGTCCTTAGGGCTCCTGCTGTTGGGCAAGAACAGAGTCTGCCTTATACACAACAGTGGGCATCTGTGCTTGGGCATGAGAAGTTACCAGGGGATAGTGGGTGTTTCTCTATGTGATTTCCATGCAATTATGATGCCCTGCACAGCTGTACACATCATTAGTTCTTGGATATTTTTGTTTGCCTGAGGGGTTGCCAAGCTACTGTGAATGCCCAACACAGGGTCAAGAAAACAAGCATGGATGTAATGAAGGCCGGAGGGTCCCAACTCTTCTGGCTCTAGCACTTGCAGCTTGGCTTAGGGGGAGAGAGATTTCTGTTACCTAGCTTAAGCATGAACTGAAAGAGATGACGGAAGGGACTGAGGTTTGTCTCTGTCTATGTGATTTCACAGACAGCCTGGGGTTAGCAGTCAAACTGCCCCAAGATGCAGTTTAGGAACCTGCTGTCCTCCCTGTAAACAGCCGCACAACTTCCAGGGATTTTAACTGCTGGATCCATTTCTGTTCCTGAGCTCCACGTTCCTCTTTCAGGAGCAGCGATCTCCTTGACCATCCAAACCACATTGTCTCTCGGGTGGGTTAATCACATTAATATTTACTTTGTGCTTCCTTCTTCTTCTCACAAATGCAGAATCGAGGGTCTCCACAGCCTCCAGCTTTAACTTTATTACCTTGCAAATATGCACAAGCTCCACCCGGATAATTCTGAGGACTGGGATCTGAGAGCACAAACCTGGAAGGTAAAGCCACAAGCTACAGTCAGGTCTATTCTTCTGAGCCCTGTGTTAGGACACAGAGCTGGGAGTTCTCCCTGCTCACAGCAATGACTGCAGGGGATGCTCTCATGCCATAACCCAGCAAAAGGAAGGTCAGAGATGCTTTGCAGCTCAAGCCATTACAATTGGTTGGATGAGAAACAGGCAGCACAGGACCCCTGCACACTCATGGCACATTTACAAGGCAGGGTGTGCTCAACTTTGATTCCTCAGCACACTTCATGTGAAGACAATTTCAGCCCTCCAGATATTGGTCCTGCAATCAAATGTGGAAAATATTCTGTTTTCTCCCCATCCTGTGCCGGCATGCTGACCCAGGGAAATCTCTGTTCCCAAGGTGGGTGAGAGAAGAGGCCCCAGGTTTCCATACAATTCACAGATCACATCAGCTCAGGCGGTATGCATCGGATACATTCATGTACTGTATGGCTCTTCTATGCATCATGAACCTGTGATGTGGCAAACTCCCCTGTTCCCACTAATGCACCTCTCACATCTATGATCTAACACCATCATCTCATAAGCAATATAAAATGGCTACTCCTTATTATGGTATATTGGTCTGCCAAAAACATGGCAAATTGCATTGAAGTGGACAGTTTCAGGAAGAGAAAAGCTATTGAGGGCAGTGAGGAGGTATCATGACTGTTCCAGCCCTGCACTGTTGCACATGGTCACTAGTCACAGAGAGGAGCCTGTATAGTGGCAGCAGTATCTGGGGGTGTTTGAGATAAAACACTCAGATACTAGCACCAACCCTCCACTGCCAGCAGTGTCAGCCCCTTATGGCTCCAGGGGAAATTGCACCTAGATGCAAGTGCTGTACTTCAGCGCAAAGCTGAGTACAGGGCGTGCAGCTGGTCCTCTGTGGACTGCCACTGGTGGTGCTACCTTCCCCAGCTCTTCCTCACCACCAGGCAGCCACTGTGCCCACCCCACACCCCTGCCTTTTTCTGAGCAATGCGCTTTGCTGCATTTAGAAGGGCAGACAGACACTTTGCAGAAAAATTAATCCCCTCTACCCCTCCAATGCTCCTGGGGCTGGCAGGAGGTGCCACGTGACATGGGGGTGATCACTGGCCTCAAAGACCCTGCAGAAGCAGCCACAACACCAGAACCTGACATTATTCCCTGAGGTACAGATCAGAGGTCAGCAGGTGCAGACAGTAGTACACTGGGAAACAGGTCGTTTTTTCCACAGTACCTCTCATTTCTGGTGGGATTTCCTCTGGCAGGAGAATGGCACCTATAATATGTTTTGTGCTTTTAACCTAGGTCTTAGACACACAGACACAGATACATACATATACCTTCTCAGGTATAAGAGTGAAGCGTGCTGCCAATTTTAATCTAGGAAGAATGTGTGCCCCAGATATCAAAAGGTTGGGAACCACTGCCCTAGTGACACAGACTTACAAGCCAGAGGAAAGAGCTGAAGCATCCGCCCAGACCCACGTTCCTTCTCTGAAGTCAAACGACAATCCAATCCAGAATGGGTAGTAGTATGTACTACTTCCACGATCTTCAGCATATTCATAAGACCTTGTGGTGATGAAACTCTGCACAACAATAGGATCAGGTGGAATGGCAGTGAGTTGTCTCAAACACATGGAGAGCACCAGCAGAGCGCTATGTATAACCATGAGACTCAATGTAGAGATTCCCCTTGCAGAAAACTGGGCAGCCTGCACCTCCATAAGACCTAGTGCCAGTCTGGCCAGGTAAGTACTCAAACCTACTGCAGGTAATACTGTAGGATCAGACACATGGCTAAACCCATGCACACAGTACTCTGGAAATACAATAAAACACCTGTGTGCATAGAGATAAACCCCACACTGAATCCTATCCTCCCCATCCTCCCCACCCCCAGCCCACTTGAAGCTGCGCCAGAAAGTGCAGCCCTAGAGCCTGACTCCATTCTGGCTGCATTCACATGGTCACGTTGTACTCGTATATTAAAGAAATCTCTCATTTACCAACTCTTCTTTAGTCTCTGTCTTGAGCAGCTCGGCAGATTGAGAAGTGCAGGAGGAATTACATTGATTCCAAGTTCCTCTTTTAGGAGAAAAAAGGTAGGACCTGTCCTGCTTGGCAGTCCAGAGCACTGGACACTTCTCCCCTGGAACAAAGACACACCGCAAATCAACCCATCACTTTCCCCATTGCCCTGTGCCGGGCATGTTGCTGTCAGGAACAAAACGGATTTCACCCGCTCTGATCCTCCACCTCATGTACCAGTGCACGGAAGCGGAACCTTCTGTTTCATACACCTGAAAGGGGATCACTGTTCCCCTCCACGAACAGCTGCTTCACTGCGTACAAGGGCAGAGAGTGGCGCCCACAGCCTTATGGGTGAGTCAGGAACCTGACACACCCAGGCAGGGAGGATCCCCCTTTCTCCACAACTCCCCACCAGCGGGACCTCATGTCCGCATCTCCAAGGATATCCCTCAGCCAAAGCCAGTCCATCTTTGGGTGGTGATGTTGCCTCACATACAGGACTAGACCTGCCCTGTGGAGACAACAGCCTATGATTTACCTGTGTCCTGGGGCTGCTTTCTCAATGTTCCCGGCAGGCTGGGTTTTTGGTAGGACGTTGGCTTAGAGGTGTGGTGGTCCCCTTCCATCACGGGGTTTTCCTGCTCTGTGCCCGGCTGACACACTGAAACATCAGTGCCTGTTATATATAATAAAAGCTGTAGTGAAGTTTCACAGATCCGATGCTCTGTCTTGTGCAGTGTCACACACCCCTCGGTTGCACTAATACTATTTGCACTTACAGCTGCTCAACATTTTCTCATGGAGCAGTTTTTCTTATTGCAAAAATGAGGATTTCTAAAAATTGAGCCCCACTGCACAAACAGCCATTTTGACTACACACTCCATGGAGCTGGGTCCGGTTGGCAATGGAAACCTGTCTTGTTCCTAGTATTCCCACCTGGAGGGAGGCAAGAAATGTGGAGGCTTGGACGCTGTGCTCCCATCTGAGGCTAACCAAATATCGAAAGCTTTGTTTTCGGGGGGTTTGTTAGTTTTGTTTCTTTTGGGTCTGTTTTTTTAAGAGTTGAAATCCAGGTCCTGCCCAGCTCAACGTACCTTGGGTGGGAGAATCATTGTGATTGGGCACAGAGTGAAGTGCCCAGAGCACCTCTCCCCAGTTAGCACAGATCTGCTGATATCAGTCCAACACAGCATCAAGGAGCTCACAAAACAATAGTATCATAATGCCTGCCCACAGCACACATCTACACCACAGCCCAAGCTTGTACCTCCAAACCAGTACTCACTTAAGAAACTAACCCACAAATGGGGATGTGCTGGACTGACATTCTGCTTAGAAAATCTATGATTAAAGTTGTATTTTTCACTGCACAAAACAACACAGATTTGCCCATATGACATAGCACTTGGAGTGTATGAAAATACTTTCTGTTTTCTAAACACAGGCTTCAGGGCTGCAGGCCAATTCTCTGCTGTGCTGATGAACCTAGCTGCAGGGAGTTCACCACAACTAGGCCCATTCACAGTAATCTGAGGCTCTAGCCCAGAATAGCCTCGTGTGCAGAAGGTCTAGTGGCTTATAACAGAAATAGCCAGGCATACAGGTGACAACACACATTGCATATAGTCTGCTAAAGGGACTGAAGCATCCAGCTGTGAAAACCATAATGTAACTGTGACCTCAGTTTTTTCAGACCAGACTCTCCCCACCTTATTATCAAGTGTGACCCAACGCAGGCTGCAAATAATACCATATGTTAGCCTCTTGCTAGAGCCATTAGAAAATGCTGCCTGCCCTCAAATATTTGTAAGGACTCCTATCAGATCCATAGTGATTCCTTCTCTATGAACTTACCATTGTAACCCAAAACTCCTGCTACTATCAATAAAATCAGGCAGAGAATCCCAAGAGCAAGGGTGGCAAGCTGCCATTGAAGAGGTGTAGCTGAAGGATCTGATGAAGAAAAACAGATAATGCAAGTATTGACATAAGCCAAACACAAAATTCACCTCATCAAACTTGGCAAGGGAAAGAAGGAAGAGGCTTGTGTGAGCACCTTCAAACATGTCTCCTAGAAGCAGCTGCATTTGTTGAAAAACAGTGAGTGGGGTGGCAGGGGAAAGAGCAGTATGTGAAAGGAAATGACCATTGGTGCTCCTAGGTGGACCAGGCCCTTCATTTGCAGAGCAGTCAGGCTGCCATGAGTATTCTAAACATGCTTTGTTCAGATCATGTGACTTGCAAATACTGAGCATAATGCCAACTGGCTTTTACAGTCAAATCGATCATCCACAACTGCCCTTCCATTATATATATATAAGCCCCAAATTTGCTTTTCATGAATGCTCATGCTGCTGTGCCTGGATATTAGGGTAAAGGGAACAAACAAAGAGTTGAAATGTGTTCAAAAACCCCTTCAAAATAGAGTGTGTTTTAATATTTAATTGAATGCTTCTGGGAGAAAACCACCTCACTCTGCCACTTTCTGTAGTCAATAATAATAATAATAAGCTATGATAATCACTTGGTATCATATCTGAAGAATTTCTTCCAACTGCCACTCTCTCTAGTCAAGTACCTACTAATAGTAGCCCCAGTGATTAACGTTTTATTGTGGCATTAGGGGGCACAGGTGCACCATGTCATTTAGCTTCCTTGCCATACAGCTGGTATCCTAGGTATAGAGTAGCACTGTCCTGGTATGGGGTGTAGCCACGGAGCAGGTACATTGGAAAAATGTCCAATAGCCAAAGTATCTGCTGTCACTCCATGGAACAGGCTGAGAGGTGATTTCCCAGCCAGTTTGGAGATCATTGATCAAAAGGATTAAACTTTCTTTATTTGTAGTTCCCTGTTACAGTTTTTAATTGGAATAAATGACATGAGCTTCATCTTAAACTGTATTTGTGTTTGTTATACTGAGTATAAAATATAGGATCATGCCCTAAGCCAGCAGCACATTCTCTATGGAAACTTGGTTATGAGTATGGATAGGAGGGCAAGTAAGCCCTCATGAGCTGGGTTTGCTGTCATCATGATGTTTTAGGCTCTGACCCTGGGGGTCTGGACCACAAAACTCCAAAGGTTTTGAAAGATGGACTAGACAGCTCCTTAGGCCTTTATCTTTAACAATAAAGAAAGATCTTTCTGAACTCTTACATTATTTTTTTTCTGTACTCTGAGATATGGAATGAATCAGTGGTGTAGCAAATGCCTAATTTACATCCAGAGTGTGAGACCATTTTTTTTTCTGGTTTGGGGGGTTAAAGTCCCAGCTATTCCAATGAGGCCATTATCTGAGTATAAGTTCCGATTTCCTATAAAATCTAAAGTAAGTTTCTTTGACTCATTGGTTGGACAGAGAAGCTGAACCCCTAAATGCTCTGAAAGAAAGAGTATAAAAAGAATACACATTGGAAATATATTATGGATTGTAAAGGAAAAATAAAATGCTGGTTACAAGCTCCAGGGCTGCACTGTGCTACAGTATTACGCAAGTGAGAAGCCCTATAAGGGAAGTATCAATTGAGTACATAGTTCACAACCTGGGTGTGACATGTTTTTTGTGTCTATGGTAGTAATGGGGAAAAGTGAAAGCCAAGTGCTCTTGTGAAACCAGGATAACATTACCTTTATTTCTCCTCCGAGGGCTTGGGCTGCCCCCAGTCCCTCTGCCCTCTTTCTCCTCAGCTCTCGTGCTTCTCTGCTGCTCAGGCAGGTTCTGAAACTTCAGCTCAGAATAAGTTGTTGTTTCCTCCTGTAATAGCAGGGTCCCTGGTTTCTCTGTTATCCCATGAGGGAAGACAAAATTTAGAAAAGTAATTCAAAAGGGAGACAGAAAACAGCTGTCACAGCTCAGGTAGATGCAGGAGCCAAAGCCAAAGGGCCCCCAGAAATATCGCATCTCAGATGGGGGGAAACAGAAGAGAATCCAGGGCCCAATAACGAGGAAGTCCCAGTGAATGGGTTATAGGCAGTGGAATATACAGAGATGCTGTGAGCTCACTTGGTTTTGTGATCACTGGAGAGGCATGTGACTGAGGAATTGAGAGCTCCTCAAACACTACTCAGACAAATCAAAGGTTTGGATATTTGCTGCTGATGTTTTTTACCAGCTACATGGAAATATACAGTAGTGTACAGCTTTAACTCTAAGCAGTATATACAGTGGTAACCCCAGCCATCATGTTATCTAGGAAAATGCCCTTACGACTGAGGTGTTGGATTCAACCGGAGGTAACCCACTGATTGATTTTCAAAAGCCAGACTTGACTTGTCAAAAAGTGTTGGAGGCTTTTTTTCTGGGAATCAAAGGGATTAAGGCCCAGGCTCTCACCTGCTCATGTGCAAGAGCAGGACTGAAGGGATGAGGAGGGCACCAGAGCTGCACAGCACCTTGGGTCCTATGTGGTGCTTGGGAAGAATAGAAGCTGTCCTTTTGCTCAAATGTTAAACAGCTACAAATTGAGACATCTCAAGCAACCTGAAGAAGGGCATTGGCCAAAAGTGTCAGAGGGCTGCTTCTTTATTGTAAGCAGGTTTATTTGATGACAGTTAATACTTATAAAGTGATTTTGAATTTCTACCTCAAAAATACAATACTATCATTTTTGGAATTATATTTGATTCTGTGCTGTACCTTTCTTTCCAGGTTTCTTCCTTTTAGACCGATCAAATTTCACATCCGAGTAGGTTACCGCATGCTCACTCATGTCCAGTACTAGGGAGAGAGAAATTATACCCTGGGTTTGAGAAGGCTGAATCAGTTGGGTGGTACTCACTGGGGAACTGATGAGCTTCCTAAACAGCCTGATCCTTTGAGATAACTCTAGGAGGGGCTCAGCTTTCTAGCATGTTATACTCTGTAACCACTTTAGAAGATAAATCAACATTCAGGGAGGGTAATGTTAGCAAAGCCACTCAGAAGTTAGAAGACACCAGACTTACTGTGGCCTACACTACTAAATCAGCTCAGCTCTTCTGAGTTATCATGAATTAGAGCAGCGCATACTTTCCTCTTGCCCACCACTGTCTCCAGGTTCCTTCAGTGCACAGCATGGATGGTGTTCACCAAGTAACCACATGTTCAGAAAGTTTTTTGTGTGTGTTAATGAGTCACTATGACATGTTATCGTCATAGTTTAATGTGTATTACCTGTATTAGTGGCAGTTGTTCAAAAATTTTCTCACCAGAAAAACCCATAAGATTGTGTGACAAAATGTGACTGTTTAGTGTCAGTTTGGACAAAACAGCATTGCACTGTGGGAGGGCAGGGAGAGGCACGGAGGCAGAGTTATTGAGAGCACATACCTCATTTCCAATCAGTCTTTGGAACCAAAAAGCAAATTTCTCATGTTGAAATCTTGTTTTGAAAGCAAAAATCTCTTTTCCACAGTTCAACTCATGACTTTTCATATCAGCCTCATTGCCTTCAAGAAGTGTTGCAACATACTAGGTGCCTCTACACATGCAATTAATGAGCTGTGATAAACTCCCACGCAGTTCACGCCAGAGAAAAGTGCTCCTTAACACAGCATTTCCATGTGTGTGCAGGACTGCAGCACTTTGAGGCTGGGCAGAATAACCCTGGGCTACTAGAGGGCCCCAAACTCTGGATGGTGGTGTTGTGCAGCATCAGGCCTAGCTGGGGCACGAGGGTGCTATAATGTGGAGATGAGCAGCATACAGCCCCTGCATTTTAGCACCTTGTGCTCCATCCCATCCTTGTCACAATCTACATATGCATTTCAGTGGAGTTATTAATTTTCTGTGCCCTAATACCAGCACATGTGTACATTGTGATGCCAGGGAGACTATGGAGGACAAGTGTAATTCAACTAATTGCACTAGAGCTCTACCAGTGAAGAGGGAGTAGTCACTGTGGCAGCATACAGAGAAACCATGCTTGCCTAAGGTTGCTCCGGCTGGTCAGAGATGGGGCTCCTTCATACAACCAGGCCGGATCTTCTGCTGGTGCCAGTCAGCATCGTTCCACTGGAGCCCAAGGAGCTCTGACACCAGCACAAGCTCTGGCCCATTGTGCTTTAAGGAGAATGAAAGAATCTGAGCCTTGTTGCCCTCTTTCGGTACATGAACTCCTTTCAAATTAGAAGCTTCACCCATCTCCCATCACCCATCTCCCATACTGTGTCACGTCCTTGTGAGAGGACACCACAACCCAACCTGGGCTAAATCAATATCACAAGAAGATGACCGTTAACTTCTACCTGGTGACAACTACCCCAGCTAAGTCCAGCTCCTCGCTTCCTCCTCCCTGTCCCTGACAAACATTACTGCATCCCACAGCCTTCTCATTCATGCACTCATTGCAAAAACATTGACAAGCAGTTTCTCATGGTTCCCAGAATCACTCAACCCCATCTTGCATTTTCCCAAATCACCCAGTTCTGCTCCTTGGGCAGCGCAGTTTAAACCAGAAGGTATAACAGGATCACTCACCTTCTGGAGGAAACAACCCATCCCTCAAGCCACCCCTAGTCCTCCCATACAAAGACTCCAGGCCCCGTACCTTTTCTTTTTCTTCACAGATCACAAGCGGAGGATGATGGACTTCTGAATTTGGACACAAGAAGGTGTATCTGCCCTGCTCCCGTTGTTTGAGTCCCTGTAAAAGGAAAGATCACAGCGATGATTGGCTGGATGCGGCTCCATCTGTGACCCCACAGGAAACGCTCTGTCTGCTCATCTGAAATGCTCTCCCTCCCTAACACTGTTACAGAGCAGGGCTTTTATCTTTACAGTATGAGAGTTTCCAGGCTGAAGTGCTCACTGCAAAGCCCCTGTGGGGATGCTGAGATACTGAGCCTCTGCACAGCACAACCACTGTCCCCAACCAGGCTATCCCAGAGCCTCTTAAAGGTACAGTTCCCAGCATACCTTGTTGTAAAGTAAACAGCTCCTGCTGTCTTCACATGTAGCAGTTGTCCCCAGACGTCCTTTCAGGAGGAGCTGAGGTCAGGAACAGCAGACAACCTGTGAGTTTTTTCTGCCAAGTGACAGGGTTTCCAACACACACCTTACAGCATTTTTAGTCCTCATTATTGAAGACACCAGCAGAGTCCAGCCATACTGGATTCTCCCTTCAAGCCCCAGCTCCTGGAGCTGTGGGAGTGGGTAAGAAGATCAGTCGTCCCTCAGCAGAACATGCAACTTGCCACTGGGAGGCGTACAGGTGAGTTGATATCTTGACCCAGAAGGCACCAAAACAGAAGACACATCAGACTCACCCTTCTGGTGTGTTTACATCTCATGGCTTTCAACCCAAGTCTGGCTGTTCTCAACATGTGCAGGGTGCAGCCTTGACAGTCTACATACACCTCCTGCCTGTGCATGTCCCTATGAGAGGCTGTCTTCTCCAGTTACAACTACCTCCCTTCCTTGCCCTCTAACACTCCCTTGGAAGGCTTTTATCAGGTTCCCACGTCTCTGAGGCCTGATATAGCTCAGCACCCTCAACCACCAAAGCCCCTGAGCCCCTGTCTCCATCCACTACGCCCATCTGTCCTGGTTTCTACTCCAGACACTGGCCCATCCATCCTTTCAGTCCTGACTCTTCTCTTTTCATTTCACTCCCTCTAGTTCCCTTTATCTTCTTCTCTTCCTCCTTTTCTCTTTCAGACTCCTCCTCCTACACCTCTGCTCCCACACTACCCAGCAGGGTTTCCTGAGCTATGTGGCAGAAATGCCCCCGTCGGTGCCCCTCTCCAGAGATCTGTCTCAGCCGGCCCGAGAGGCTGCTGTTGAATCTCTCACAGCGGGGATCTCGCTCCTTGTCTGCAGACAAAAGCCTGGCGCCTGGGAGGCGATGCTCTGGTCACCTGGGCAGGGGGGGGAAGACCCGGCCCTGCGCGCGGGCCCAGGTAGCCAGGGATGCTTTGCAGATTGGACGGTTTGTAGCCAGTATTGGCAGCTTCGATTGGACCGGCTGCTGAGGTCAGGGAGGTTTTAAAAAGGCCTGGGCCAGGAAGAAGGGGAGCCATTATCCATGCGGTCATCCAGCCAGGTGAATCTGAACCTGGCTCTCTCCTCATCACCGCATGCTGCAAGAGCGCCCTGGCTCCAGAGGAAACAACAAGCACCTCTGGATGATGCGAGTGAGTAACCTACTAGAGATCCGATCAGATATTTAGCTTCAGTAACTCAGATGCGTGTTGAAACGGCTACCTCAGCCACCCTGGTTTGCTCTATGGGATTCCTTTGATATTCCTGTAAGATTTCTATGATATTGCTCTACCTTTTACCCTATTTCTGCCCTACCCCTGTAATCAATAAAGTTCTCCTTTGTGACCGGTGTGGAGACTTATTGAGGGGTGGGACTAAATTATGCCAAGGAGGCCCCTGAGGTCTGTGGACTAAGGGAGGCTTCCTAATAAGCCCCTGACTTGGGGAAGTGCCCCAAGTGCTTATACTGGGTCTAGCACCCATTGGACGATCAGGCCTGTGTTTTCCAAGGTGCACAGAGCCAGAAGTGAGTCCAGAGCCTTGGATGGTGGCAGCGGGACCCCCAGGCTAGCGGGTGTGCTCCAGGGAAGGGGTCGGCCGGACGGGAGGCACCCAAAGGGAGGCACTCGGAGCCTGGAAGGTGGTCGGG